GGGGGCACGCAACGGGGAGGCGGGAGAGTTTTCAGTAGCTGCTGCTACACTCCCCTGTGCTCGATGTACGCGCCCGCGAGGGGGTCTGACACCAACGTCCGCACGGCGTGTTGGTAGTAAGCTCGGACGGGGGCACCGGGGCGATTTTGGGCGGTGCAGTTCGGCGGTACTAGGCCGGAAAGCCGCGCACGACTTTCCCACAGACAGATTCTCATCACCCAGGCTATATACGAGAAGCAACAATGGGGGTCCAATAACGTGGTGAGGAGAGGACTGGCTCCGGGTTGTAGTCTCCAGGTAGGCGGCCGATTCCTTCCGAGCGAGGCGGACTGGGTAGCCAACACTCCTTGTGGCTCGTCACAAGTAGCAGCGAACAAACACAAAAAAGCTGTGTGTTGCAGAAGAGAAAACGCGCGCCTAACAGAGATGCACACACATCCTTGTCGCACAGGGTTGCCCCACTGCCCGAACGCGTACCCCGGCCGGCCCTTCCTTAACGCCAGCACCGAACGTGGGGTCAGCTATGAGCTGTGGGGGATCCCCCCCCCCTACAAACGCTAGGAGGATGGCCAGCTTTTCGTTGATAATTCCTTGTGAACCGTAGCCTGGGCCGGCGAAAACCTAGCCGCGTATCCCTCCGTCCCGGCATTGTAGGAACGCAAGAGCCCAATGGCCTAACGACTTACGGCATGCATTTCGCATGGGACGAGGTCAAACGACAGCTGCATGATGCGTTTACGTGAGGCAGGGGGATGCGAGGTGGTCAAAACGACTACAGGCAAGATGCGTTCCACATTAATACAACACCCCCACCCTCCTTACTTCGAGCTTCGTTTTCGACGGAGACGCGGGGTCGAAGTTGACGAGCATGTTCTCGAGCACGACGGTGATGGGGACGAGAGCCTCGAACGGTCCGCGGTCGATCACGGTCCAGGAAGAGGTGTCCGTGAACAGCGCCTCCGCGAACAGCTCGGGCGTCGCCACGTTGGGTCCCATCGACTGGCAAAAACGTGTGGGGGGGTGGGGGGGCGCTTGCATCCCTAGACCATTGGCCTAGACTATTGACCTAGACTATTGACCACGCGTCCTCGAGAGGACGGAGCATTGGGTGGGGGAGGCCCCGCCCAGGGGTTCCGCGATCCAAGCAGGACACCCGGCGTAGTGGTCGCTTGTTTCCTGCCATTCATGGGGGTGAGCACTTGTTCTAGGTTTAGGGGGGCAAGCGGAGAAGAGTTGCAAATACAAACTTTGGGTCTATGTAGGGTAGGGCAGGTGGTCCAAGATCGTGGTGGCAAACACTCGAGAGACTAGGTGGTGGTAACCACCTTGGAGCAAGATCAAGGTAAACGCGGCCGGTATCCCCCTGAACACGCGTGCAGATGTCGTTGCGACACTTCAATGTTTCGCGTGCAGAAACTCACCGAGGGGGGGATACTTACACGGTGTATCTCTCAAGCTCTGCTTGCCACCAATTTACTCTTTATTCGAAAAACCAAACACGTAAACGTGTCGTTCGTTTCGTCGTTACTTGTGTTTTTTCTTCTCGCGGGCGTCTTCAACCCCTCCCTCCCCCCCCGCGCCCCCCGGCCCTGTACTCAGCACATACATACACACCCGAACGAACGAGTGGAACATGGCGCGCGAGTCCTCCGACTCGCTCTCGCTGTGGCCGGCCGTGGCGTGAAACTTGACGACCCCCGAGCTGGAGGCGCTGTTCATGGTGGCACTCGCAGTCGCAGAGACTCCCACGGCCCCGGCGCCCGCTAGAGAGACCCACGACGGGAACGAGCGAAAAGGCAAAGGGTGGGGGCAATGCGGAAAAAACTCGAAAACGTCAAAAAATAATAAGGCACTCAGAAGATTAGGTGGGTGGCCTGGAGATAGAAAAAAGGGGGGGCGAAACGGCAAAATTAGGAGTAAGAAGTTATCCCGTTGGTGCCACGAACATGACACGCTTATCTGTCGCACGGCTGGACAAAGGGGGATATGCTCTAGTGTGTCGGTCGGCGAAGAAAAAAGACATGGCAGGACAGCTCTCAAACCTGAGGCGGTGGCCTCGCTGGACTCGGTCCTGCTCTGCTGCATCTGGGTGCTGGCGGCGGCGAGGAGGGTGGACGTGTCCACCTGGAAGGAGATGATTAACGGACATCGGGCACGCGTGCACACAAACACACACATACGCGCGGGAGCAAAGAAAAACGTCCAAGATGGGTGGCCTAGCCGTTGCATGGCAAAGGCGGCGGAGGTCGAGGAACATCCCGCACTTAGTTGCTTCCTGAGGTTTGCTGTTGTTTAATTTATTGTACGATGACGCAGGGGGCCCCGGAGCTCCACGACCGCCCTGAACCGGCGCGAGCAATGCTAACCGTTACGCAGACTAAGCGCACTTATCAGCTTCCATCGTTGCTGCTTCTATTTAAATATGTCCCGGTCTCGTCTCAGTCCTATTCTGGCATCCGCGCTGTTGGAGACAGCAATATCGAGAGAAGTAATTGAACCACGAATGTCTTAACACCAACGAACAAAACAAACACGCGGGCCGCATTTTTTCCACACCTCGGATTCCGTGGTCAAGGTCATGGTGCGGAAAAAAATTCCCCCGAGGAGGTGCCGGCCGTTGGAGACGTGGGAGCCGAAGGTGTCGAGAAACTGCCCAGCCTTGAGGAGAGTGTCCACCTCCATCGCGTGGTCGAGAGCCTCTTCCGTCATCGTCATGGTGGACACCGGGATGCGGAACGACTTCATGGGACATATGATGGTCTTTGGAGGGTAGGTGGAATACGGTGTGTCGAGTAGACGAGAGCGGTGTGCGGAGAATGCGGGGGGACGGACGGGGGACGGGGTGAGAAGCTTGTTGCTCGGTGGTGGAGAAGAGCGCGAAAACGAAGCACGCAGAGGGATGATGAAACGTGACTTTCGATTATCTAGAGCTAGCTATTCTCACGTGACCCGATCGCCCACGTATATATAGCACTACCTTCGGCCGTGCTTCGAGACTGCTGATCTCTCTCTCTCTCTCTCTCTCTCTCTCTCTCTCTCTCTCATTCTCTCTCTCCTCTTAAAAAAACGGCGAGACCGCGCTGTCTTGCAGAGGTGGAACGTGGCAAAAAATAACGCGACCCGTACAACCCCCCCCCCTGGCGGTGCGGGACGGGAAAGAGAAGCGTGAAACCAACCGCTGCTGCTGCAGCACTCGTCACCAGGGCTTGCTGGCTCTGATGCCCGCTCCGTTTTCAGAGACACCGCACGCGTGCATTTCTATATATTCACCTAACCGCTCCTCAAAATCCCGGGGCGACAGAGCTTGTCCCACGTGAACACAATACCTCTCCACCTACTGCTACTTCCCTCCCTCGTGTCGCGGCTGCCCTCTCTCTCACCTCCACGGTGGACGCCGACGTGGTGGTGGTCTTGCTGTTTGCGGAGAAGGCATTGCTCCCCTTGGCTTCTCCTGTCCCCCCCTGCATGCACCCGCCGCCGCAGCCAAGTCACAACACGCCGCAAAAGCGGTCAAAAATAATGTGTTGCAAAACACCAAAACGCAGATCGCTCCGACAGGAGAGAGCGCCACGTGATTCTTAATTGACGGGTTAGAGGCGGGGGCGTTAGTGGCGGTGGGGGGGGGGGGACNTACTCATAGTCGTGCATGCCGTTGTCGTTAGACCGTTGACCTCGCATCCCTACAGTTCCGGGACGGAGCGATATGCCGGGTTTCCTTGCAGGGGTGGGGTATACATACAAGCCGGAATCGCCATTAGACTACTGCCTGTGGTTTGATTTCGGCTTCTAATGGGGGGGGAGGGGGAACCACGGCCGTGCTCGCAATACTGTGAAGGTCATTAGCACGATCAGACCGGCAAGGCAGCGCGGGCGCTAACGCGCTCACTTCCGTCTCGCTCGAGTCCGCCGAAACGCTCGCGCTCGCGGCGCCCCCGAAGGACGAGACGCTGGCGCTCACGCCCCAGGACGTGCAGGAGGACTGCGCGATGCTGATGCCGCCGTTCTCGGTGGTCTTGGTGAAGTTGGAAGCCATGGACTGCTCCGTGGAGTGCAGCACGGAGGCCTCGAAGCTCGCCGACGCACCGGCCCTGCTCACGGCGAGACGGAGATGGAGGGGGCGGGGGG